TAGAAAGAGATTGCTTCCACTGCAAGATGCAAGATGACTCTTTGTCCGTTCTGGTCCCCTCCCCCCTCGGGCTTTATAAAGCTGAATTTTGATGGCAGCAGTGTAAGGAATCCAGGGCCCTCTGGGATTGGAGGAGTCTTCAGGAATGAAGAAGGGATTGTTACTGCTTTATTCTCTGGCCCTATTGGAGAAGGTGACTCTTTTAGGGTTGAGATCCTTGCAGCGCTTGAAGGAATTCGAAGAGCAAAAGATCTAAATATTAGCCGTTTGATTCTGGAAGGTGACTTGAAGGTGGTGGTTAATTGGTTGAAGACAGAGGACAGTGGTTTGTGGAACTTTAACAATGAGAAAAAATAGTTCTTATGGCTGGGTAGGGACATAGAGATTCAGTACAGCTGGGTGAAGAGGAGTGCCAACTCATTTGCGGATGGGTTGGCCAAGCAAGGAGTGACTAGGGAGGCTGTTTTCTGGGCTAGTTTTTAATTTTCTTTGCTTTCCCTGAGTTTTCTGTTTTTTGGGGAGCTAAGTTATTTTATCTCCCTYTGTATTCCTTTCCCTCTATTCTCTTAATTTAATGAAATTGATGTTATTGATCAAAAAATAAAAAAAAGGTTAGGTCTATATCCAGTCTGGACCATCATTAGGTATGACCCTCTTACCATCCTAGGATAAGCTTATGAATGGATTTATTTATTTATTTTTAACTTATGATAAATTTTATTGTGTTGTCCTAGAGCTGTGTTATGTGTAAAGGGCTAAGGGCTACATCTGATATTAGACTAAATAACTTCCCACCTAAACACTCCATAGTGATCTATGGAAATTGCTGCAACATAACTCAAATGTGAACAAACCAGTGATAAAGTGACACATCACAGTGACGTCTTTAATGTTGTTAAAGTACACCTTGTGTAACGTGAACCAATGAAAAGTAAATAAACCATGTGACTTCTCTCACTTGATTGGTTGAAAATTTGATTTAACATGCAACCATAGTTAGACTCCTAATTTAGCCACATAATGTTTAGAAGTTGGTTATACAATCAGGTAAATTTGATTTGTAGGTTTTACATCACATGAAGGGAGATTGAATTTTAATAGGAAGCTCAATCTACCAGTATTAGTGCCCATTTGGGATGGCTTTCACGCAGCGGCTTCTGGCATTGAAAGAGCCAAGAAACCCGAAAATCATCAAGCCTTGTGTGGTAAAAATCTGGAAAGTTGAAAAAAAGTTACCATAGGCCAAAGAATTGACTTTCTGATGAGGCCATCATAGGTAGCTTATCAGAAGCAGCTCAGTCAACACAGCTCAATCACTGCAGAAGCCCTCCCAAACAGGCTAAAATTAGGTTTACTGTCGGCTTTCCAAACATCACTCCATATCATTTTCTTCTCCAGACTGATTTTGCCCACCCTTAATGGATATTTTGTAATGATCATATTGTTGATATTTCATATTTGGTGATTTATGTTTGTCTTCCAAACAAGAATGACTGTTGGTTAATAAACATTCTTCATGAAAAGCCCATGTATCTTTTTCCCGTTTTATTCCTGTTTATTTATTTATTTGTTTTGGAGCTTGTTAAGGCAGGAGGCTCCTCTGGTACTGTATTTGCCTGGGACCTTCGGTGGCAAAAACAGCCAGTTCTGCTCTCTGGGATTGTACCAGGCGAAACAGTAGTTTCCCCCTCCGAAAGTGAGGTTTGGGAAGTCCAGTTTGATTGTTACATGCAGTCTGCAACCATTGGTAACATCTCATCTGGCCAAATCTTACCTGTTATGATGTGCTCAGAAGATGGGATTCTTGCTGTTATTAAACAAGGTATGGGTCTCTATATGCTTTGATGCTTTGTTGAGGATTATATGTTACTTTAAATGGTGAATCGTTATCAATTTGAAGCAGTAGTTCATTGGTCTTATCTCAATTGATTGCTTTATAATTTAATAGTCCTTGATCATGTAAGGTAGAACTGAATGGATTTGTCTAATCCTACAGGTGAGCAACCCATGGAGATTCTGGCAGAACCCTGTGCCATCAACAGCTTCGACATTGATAAACAAAACCCATCTGTAAGTGGAAAATATTAAATTATGGGGTTGAAACTATATTTCTGTGTTATGAACATGAAATATTATAAAACTGGAATTTATGTTTGACCACCTGACATGTGATACAGGATTTGCTTTGTAGTTTGGAGTGGGAATCCATAGTCATCTTATCAAGACAATGATGTTGCGACGAGGAAACCAGATCAATTCAAGATGGATCCTGTCACTCTTTGGCAGCTTTATTCGTTATAACTATAGAACTGCAAACCATTGCTGCTACTTTAGGATGGGAGGGTGTCCCAACCACTTGGCGCGGAAGCCTGTTCCTTTACAGTCAGAGCAGCACATCGATCCCTTCAAGGATGAAAAAAAGTTTTATGTTCAGAGAATGTTGCATTAAATTGTTTTAAACTAAGGAGACGAATACTGAAGAGGTCAAAGTGCTTTTTTGTTTACCTTTCCAGCACATATAATGCAGCTGGTGTTCTTTGAAGGCACTTCACAAAGCATATTGTCTCCAATGATGAAGAAGCCTGTTCCTCCACACCATTTGCATTCAACATGCCCTTTTGAATTGCATGAAGAACAAGCAATTGGTCTTGGTTGCTGCAAACATCATGAACTGATAAATATTATGTTCTAAGGGGTAGAGAGATGATTACGAATTTAGAAGGCCAAAACAATAGTTCAATCGCAAGAAAGAGAGGTTTTCTGAAGGGTAACATGATGCATGGCATGCAAGGGTACCTTACCATTTCAGTTACCTATCAAATCCAATTCATTAATAAGGAACCTGTTGGATTAGCAGATTGTTGGGTGCCTAGAACATATCAGCAACGTACCCCATCTTGAACTGACAGTCCTAGTAGTCCACCTGTCACGGCTTTGAGCTTTTTCATGGAAAATTGTGCTAAAAATAGGTCTATTTTAGTGCTTAGGAGGCAACTGGAAAGATTGCCACAAGATTGATGTGAGCATTTGAGGCCCTTTGAGCTTCAACCTAAAGCTGGCACCTGCAAACTGCTGTAATGTTCGTCTACCTCGCCTCTAGTTCCCTAGATTTATGGAGATTAGATCACGGTAGAACCTTCCAAATTCCAACAAGATGGGCGAAACGGGCAACTTAGCATCTTCACAAGCCCCAGAAGGCCAATTTAAATTACTAAGGGCTTGTGTTGATATCAAATCTCAAGAAAAAGTGTAACGTACCAAAATAACTCATTTTTAGTCAGATGTCGAGTTTTTAACTTCCAGCTGAACCCAACCCAACCACCCTAAAAAAATGGGCTTCCAATTGTCTGTACAAGAAATAAATAACCATGACTATGTGAAATGTTGCACCAACCAAAGATGAAACCCCATTCTGAAGTCAAATTAATTGAATTAAAATCCAATAGACTCATAAGAGGAAGGATTTATTCTTCTCAATTTTGACTGGTTTTAACTTTCAAAGATGCAAAATGAAATAGGCCCATTAACCTTGTGCTTTTCTTTTTTATTTGGTGGAATAAACTTTCAATGATAGGAAAGAATAAACGCATATAGTCCAATTTGTTTCAGGCTTTCTACATTGCATCTAGACTTTAATCATTTTATATTCAGACAGTTCAGGGAATTCTCACTTACAACACAATTTTCATACATAAAACAAAACCAAGATTCATTAAAATAAAACATCTAATGCTACAAACATGTATTTTTTAGAACCGACGCATACATTGAGTTTCAAAAAGTACCCACAAGAGAAGGCTTCAACTCAGAGATACACTAGATTTTGGGTTCTCAACCATGCGGATATGTGGTTTCTCGGGTCTTTCAAACTTGTTCTCTAAACAAAACAACTATCAAATCCATTCGCTTTGTATTTAACCTGATGAAAGATGCACATGCACTAGATTTTTCTTGTTTTTCTTTTTTCTATGTTTTAGACATCCGAATTGAAGTTAATGATCAGTCCTCCTGGTCAGCATATCTTGCTTCCTATTTTTATTGCTTTTTCTCTCCTCAACCTGCTGCTAAGATATTTTCTTGTACACCACAGTCCAATCCTAAATAAAGTCATATTTTTCTTCCACACAGTAATCATATTTTTGGTCGCACAATATCTTGTCTCAAGTGCTTAACCCTCACTGTTGGAAAAAAAAAACCAAGAGCATTGAAGAAAAAAGAAAAATATGAGAAGAAAGATGAGTCGGCTACCACATTTAGTATGCTATGAAAACCCTTGCTGGAAACCATGATTGACCTATACTTGTATCTATTACTTCACAAGTAAAGCAACAATTACCAATCTTATCCTGTTCTTGTTTAGTACAGATTTCTAATCCTGATTAAATATTGATAATAGCACCTGCATTTATGCATCCCTAGCCTATAATTCTAAAAGTTTATTCTCATATTACAAAGCCAAATCTGATAATTTGGAAAGAACCCTACATCTCACATTCAAAATACCAAATTGGGAACTATAGGGGAAACATAACTAGCAGTTCCAAATTTCAGTGTTTCTTGCTCAAAATCACAAAAAAAAAGTATATAAAATAATAAAATAAATGAAATAAACAAAAAAACTAAAATATAAGAAACATTGATAATGGAAGGATGAAAATGTTTACAAGTATAACTCGCATTAGTATTTTCGAGAAATGACTACTCATTGGAAAATAAAGAGGATGCACATCAGACGGTATACAATAAGATTTATAAAAAAGCACAGCCATACAGAACCGCTCTTCATCCATCAAAATCTCATAAAGGTATACAGTTCTCACTGTTCAAATAGGTCTTTCTATATCCATTCCAGCTAGGCTATCAGCAACAGAATCAACTTACATCAGTTTAGATAGACCATAGTCCATTAAGACATGTAGAGGCCATGAAAGTCGAAAATACCACCACATAGCCTGTTTGATTATATACGATGAGGTCCATGACATGATTACACATTTATCAGTTGCTAATCTTTACAAATTCCTTAAAGCTTCACAAGAGGCATTATACTCTTTCATAATGGCATAGAACATACTACTTTTCATATTATAACCATCAGCAGCAGTAACAGTGATAACAACATTAGAACTTTATCCCTTTTATATTCACTGCACTTCATCCAAATCATTTGGACTCCAGCAAAGAAATATTTTCCTTTCATTCTGTTCTATACAACATCATATCTTTCTTCAAATCTTTTCCCACTACTTCAACCCAGTTAATTGACTTTTTCTTATCTTGTAAAAAACTTCAGCTAGCACCAAGTTATCCCTCACCAAAGCTGCCATTGAAGGGCCATTACCCAATGCTTGCCCTAGCTATCCAGGGTCTTGGGAGAGGTGGACTGGATATGGACCTAATTTGTTACACAAAGTGGATGCTCTCAGATTTGAACCCTCATATACTTAGCCTGATAATTTACCATTACACCGAGCAATGACCCCTTCACCAAATCTGTCATTCTCATCACTAAATGGTCATGATCAAACATCTTGGTAATTCCCTACCTAAATTGCCTTACCTGTTTACTCTTGCCACTTATCCATCTCAATATCCTTATTTCAGAGATGCTCATTCTATGGACATCTTGTCCTCCAACTGTTCAATTCCGTGCTTCATAAGGCACATCCTTTTTTTTTTTTTTTTGAAATGGTAACTTTCATTCAAACAAAAAAGTAACGATCTACATGAGAATGCAAGGGCTTCAAAAAACACAAAAGCCCACTCAAGAAGGATAACTGTTAGCACTACAAAAAATCCCTTCCCAACCCAGCTTTAGCAAAAGCATCTGTTTGACAATTCAAAATCCTAGGGATCCTAAAGCTGCAACTAAAGAAGCTGCAATATCATTGATTTCATTAAGGAGATGAGACATCCTCCAAAAAACAGCATTTAGCATTTTGGCCAAGCCAATTCCATTTCTAGAATCTCCTTCTGCTATAACAGAATTGAAATGTAGAGAAAAGCCAAAATACTACCATTTAGAGTTGGGGAGGAGAATTTCTTCAAAAAATTCTTTTGTTTCTCTCTTCCCATAGACTCCACATGGTGCATTGAACAGAAGCCTCCCAAAAACTCTAGCCTCCTTTTTTATTTTTTTGATCAATAACACTTTCATTAATTCATCAATAGAAGATTTACAAAAGGAAGACAAACACGCTTATCTTCCAAGAGCAACACAGAACCTCAAGAAAAGGAAAAAAGAAAGAAAACACACTAAAGTTACAGCTTGGCCCAAAAAAGTGAATCCCTTTCTGCCCCTTGTTCAGCTAGAGAATTAGCCGATCTTTTAACCCAACGTATCTTAACTTCCATCTCC